CATGTTGGTATACATGTCACTGTTGTGTCTATCTGAGTCATACAGCTTGAAGAAGGAGTCAAGAGTTTGGCCGTTGAGGGTAACAGATTTCACATCGTTGGTTTCAGTAGTGAGCCAACTGGTTGAAACTCGCAGATTCGCGCTTTGGAATTCGCCAACCGGAAGTGATATGGTTGTTACAGCGATGCTGTCCTTGATAGGTATAATAACATCTGTTCCGTAATATGTCGTTTCATTGAGAGTAACTTTAGGTTGTTGGTCTGATGGGATCTTGAATGTAAAGCGACATGTTGCTTCAGGAGGAAGTTCAACCATTCCTTGAGTTTTCCCGATGTCAAAGGGTTCGTTGAAGGTCATGACCGGGTACCAGTTGTCCTTGATGGTGATACAAGTAGCTTCGCCCATGGTCGGTGTGATCCAGTCGTCTTGGAAAATTAGCTTAACGGTTTGTGACTGTTGTGAATAGTTGTGAAGGAGAATGACGGTTTCATTCTTCAAAGGACTGGCCATTGCCAGCGGTGACACAGTTCGTTCCTGTCCGTCCGATTGGCTGGAGGTTCTGATGAAGGAGTACTCTGACGTGAAATCGTTCCAAAACTTGAAAACGTCGACCAAACGTGTGGCATTTCCTTGCTGGGTGAAAAGTGACCAGTTGAGACTGTCATGTCCTTGACGTTGCTCGTTGGCTAACAAAAACACCACTGTTCTATCAATGTATTCTCTGAGACCAAGTTGGGTGAATCGGTGGCCATTGATGCAATATATTGTTGAAAAATCGACTATACCCGATGGAGCATCTTTGCTAATACCTTTTACTCCCCCGCGACCATATTCACTGATAATGATGGGAATAGATCTTCCCTTCTTTCGATGGACATAGCTTTCAAGGAGGTCGACAAATGCTACCAAACGGGCTTCATTATTTCCAGTGAATTTATGGGTTTTCCCCGAAACAACTAGAGAGTTGTATGAATGAAAGGAAAATACGTCTAATTGATCTAATGCGATGTCCAGAAACTGTACCAGTTTTGGCCAGAAGGAGAAGTTATTTCTGTCTACGTCTGTATTATATCCTGTCATTGTTGGACCCGCCACTTTGATGTTAAATCTGGAATGGAGTTTCTCAGCAACTGCTTTATGGTAGATGCTGACAGTGGTGCTGAAGTTCATGATGTCCCCTTTAACATCTGGTTCATTGACGACTTCAAAGTAGGGCGGTATCTGACCTTGGGTGTAGTCATAAACTCCTTGCACCATTAACATAATGAACTCTGCAGCAGCATCTATGGTGTTTGGGAAATGACCTTGATGTTCTGACTGGTTCATCCAGTTGGGCCAGTTAAGAGCTGAAACATATGAATGAACAACACATTGATGCATACTGTTGGTGGGATGTTCTCCTTTTCATCGAAATGTACTCAGACATTTAATTACGGATATGGATACCTCCCAGACACTTACATTTATATCACATATAAGTACTGGTAAAGTTCTTGTTTTCAGGATGCATTTACATCTTGTCACCATGATCATTTCGTTCTTGTAACCACTGTTAATGTTGGCAAGATAGGTGGAGAACAGTTCCTGTTGCTTGGTGACGTTCTTCAGGTAGTTCGGGTCTGGGTAGCCACTACGACTAGGGTCCTGTGGCCACTACAAAATAAACAATTTCGATGGATGATCGTCACTGACGATTAGATGAAAATAAGTTTGGCAATACTTATATAAATACATCTAATCGTGTTTAAACAAAAAGAATGATTATACCAATGATACTTATTCACAAACAATATACACGTACAGATTGTAAAAAATCTTAGTAATTTAATTCAATCTAACTCAGTTCAAACACTACTAGATATTCCTGCCACATAACCAACCTTATCCTTACCAGCGGTCATCCTTCAGTTAATGTCTATCCAAGCAAAAATGGATCAATGACTTCCATTAATGATATATAGATCGAAACAATATATCAATTCGATAGGGCTTTACAGGGATAAATGGAAATCCAATTAAAAGTACATAGTGTTATGTATGTAAAGTGAATACAATATGCAATGGTTATATTGTCATAATACAGCAAATCTGATTCAACATCTCGTTCTACAAATGTTGCATACACACATACATAGGAAAAAAAAGTCTCACATCTTGAAAGAGATTATCATTTAAATCTCTGTTCATCCAGCGTCCGCTGTCAGTCCGAATACTACGACAACTTGGTATCAGGTATTCATGTTCCAGACCATTGTGCTTGCTCCATCTGTCAGGTTCATAGCGAACATTACCTCCCTTTGCCAGCCACTGAGGATAGATTGTCACAGTCGTGTTACTGTATACATTGCTTATTGATAGACTCAAAATGAAAACAACTGGCGTCCATTCCATTTTCCCTGATTTGTAGCATTTCCCAACAAAGGTCATAACTAGTTCAGTTGCAAGCGACAGTGTCTTATAGCTCAGACGTTTGCCGCTGATAAGGTATCGCTGACCTTAATACACATACACCACACTGTTAGAACGTGATCAGTTACGCAGGGTCAACTGTTATTTAGGTCTATCGGAAGGGTTGGCTATTCCATATCTGATTATACATGAATATGCATTGCATGGTTTACGGTTAAGCACTATTTTCGTCTGCCCACCAACATGTCCCTCACCAAACAACCTACAAGTACATGGATAGATTACGGCGGTTATACTGACGGAAGTTACACGTATGTCTTTAAAGATTGATTTAGCGATGATGGGTTCTACTCATTACTTGCGTAAAAAACAGAAATAGGTCTCAATACATGCAAACATACTTCACAAGCATAGAAACCAATATTCAGGCGAACAAGATCAAAATATCCTCTGCTTTCCGAATAAAATTCAGCAAGAAAAATATGTCTACGTTGATTCAATGTTTTGTCAAAGCAGATTAAGGAGCTGACCGTTACATAATTTAAATATATTATCAGCTTTCGTTGACGATATTATATCGCCACGAATCTTGATCCGAACATCGAACACCGAAGAAAAGCCTTCTGTCCACAGGAGTGAGTGAGTGAGTGAGTTAATATTTAACGTCACATCGGCAATATTTCAGCCATATCGTGACGAAAACAATTTATACAATAAATTGTAACTCACTCACTCACTCATACCGTTTCGGGCGATACCACTTGACGTATTAACACGTAACCAAAGAAAGAGTTCCAACTGAAATTGTTCATACAGTTGTCATGGTAGAATGTATGGCGACGATGGACAGTACAAATACTAGAGAATAACAGATATGAATATAAAACTTGCACGCAAAGCTAAAACATTCCAATTAAAGAAGACAATACAGTATAAAACACGGGCTATAGATCGCCAACAACTCGTACTATCGACGATGGACAGTACAAATACTAGAGAATAACAGATATGAATATAAAACTTGCGAGCAAAGCTAAAACATTCCAATTAAAGAAGACAATACAGTATAAAACACGGGCTATAGATCGCCAACAACTGAAGGTAGATCACCATACTAGGATCCATGGGGACTTACATTACTTTTGCTACCTGCATGGACCCTAGCTGGATATATACCATCCCTTCAGCTGCTGGCAATTGTAAGAATGTCAGCCAAAATAAAAATAACCAGAATACTACGTTTAAACAACCTGGCGATTGTAGGAAAATTTAGCCGGCAGTTAAAACAACAAAAATACTCCGTTTAAAATGTGGCAAATTTACATTATACTTTGAAAGTTTTGGGACTTACGTACCCTCTCAGGAGGACAATCAGAAGCTGCAAAATTCACTTAGAACCGTTCTGGCTCTTTTTCTAAAAGATATAATGTCGTTGAAAAAATTATTTAGCCTAGTCACGATCCCTCTTCTCCATTACATCGCTTGATCTAAAGTAGTGTATTTAAGTAACATTAATTACCTTCACGTATTTATGCCCCTCACGTCCTGTTCCTTTCTTTCGGAAATATCACCCCAAATCCGGCTTTTTGTCAACAGCCTTGCGAACATGACAGGGAATCCTACACTACGCTTTGAAGCCACAAGGTCACAACACATTTTCCAAAATGATGAAAACAATATCCGGTGAATCGCATTTGAGCACAAAGTACAGAAATAAGTGTGTAAGTGTCACCACAGTGACTCGTCGCACGCAGGCATAGAGGTATTTGAAATTGTAAAGTTGACACAGAATTCAACAGTATCTAAATTCGTACAACACGGACTTCTCATCAAAACAAGCGCCTCAACTCTTACATTTTACAAGGTATCAACAATTAGATGTAAAGGACTCTATCTCAGTAATGCAATCAGGTTAGCCATGCACTAACTGTCAGAAGCACTCCTGTCGCATCTTACCAAATTTCCAATATGTAACGTCAAGGTAAACAATGACTGCCGAGAAATGGTCAGGGCAATGAGGTCGCAGCCATTATTTGGGTGGGGAAAGTGTGTACGGTGGAATTTAAAATGTAACATTTTTAAAAATATTTGATATATGTTTTCCATTTCATCAGTTAATGATTGGTGATTAATGCAGTGAAAAAGCAAATGCTATTTGGTATTACTTAAGCTGGTGTTTGTTAGTAAGACGGTTTTACCACCAATCATACCGTTTCGATCCAGCTAGGGCCCATGCTGGAAGCAAATGTACTGTAAGTCTCCATGGTCCCTAGTATGGTGATCTACCTTCCGTTGTTGGCGATCTATAGCCCGTTTTTATATTGTATCGTCCTCTATAGTTAAACTGTTTTAGATTTAATTACTAGTTTTAAATATATATCCGTGATAATCTAGTAGTTTTACTGTCCTTTGTTGACAGGTGTTTATGATTTAATTTTTATTCTACCATGGCTACATGAAATGCTCGAATTTGATTGGTCAATCAACAAAAATAGACACTATCAATTTCGATTGAAAATGCGTCTGATTTTATGACCGCTTCACTGCGAACGTATACAACACTGACGCACTACTTCCGCTTGACCACCAACATGGAGGATGAAAACACAGCCGACACGATGGATTTCGGTTTATTTTCAATAGGCAGTTTTACGGATGTATATGGTCCGGACCTGGACGAATTCGGCGATGACGAGTTTGACTCAATCCTGGCAAATGTAACCAGTTCAGGTGAATTGACCCCAGAAACTTTAGCCTAATAATATCTTGGATATAAATCAATTGGAAAATGTCGTCTGCTAATGTCTAAGCCTGCCTGTCTGATGAAAACATCTTTTTCTTAAATATTTGTAAATATTTCGTTACAAGATAACAAAAGTACATAATCATTTTCAACCTCGTTTATTCTCAGAAATCACAGAAAGTGCCTTAGCAGAGCAGATTACATGTGCACCAACCATGCCTAAGGAGAAAGAAATAATTGGCGTTGGGAACTTGAATACGGGTAGGGCGAAAATAACTAGTAATGAAAAAGACAGTAATCCGGAAACATTGAAAAAGCGAAAACAACCGGTTACTATGACTGTACGAGCTTTGTTTACAATTTTATAAAGGGGCCTGTCAGTGTCATTAGCCACCTGATCTAGATTGCCAACAGAATAGATCTACATTTGTATTTTGTGTCGTGAATGGGTTGTTTCTTTTCTAAAAAAACCACATACCTAATAAATTATTCCCACAGACACAAGGGATGCAAAAGAAAAAACTTCAGGAAAAAGCCAAGGCCGCTTCGCAGCAATAGATGAAGCTGACCTTGATTCAATTTTCTTGGATGGCCGACCCAAATCAACCCTACGGACAACACACTGGGGAGTTAAGATTTTTCAACGTGAGCGAAATATTAATAATAAAACATTGATTAAACCTTGTTTCAAATAAAATTATATGAATATTCCCACCGTATTTGTGAGTGAACCTCGCTATCACATAAGCTTCCATTACAAGAATTTTTAAACACAATTACAATTTATAGGCCCAACCATAAATAAACAATATTTAACATTGCACAAAGCCTTGTAAAAATACATCCCTATTTATGTAAAAGATAACAGCAAAATGTTAGTAAAATATGTGCCTACCTGGTAAACGATATGGTTTTTTTCCGTTCAGAATGGCTCACACATCATGAAATATCCAGTAACTTTGAAGCACTTCCAAAAGAACAACTGGCGTCACACCTCCGACACTTTTATGCGGAACTTCGCACTACTGAGGGAAAATACTATTCAAAGTCTTCTTTCGTCGGCATCCGATCGGCGATTCACAGACATCTGAGATCTCCTCCGTTTGAAAGAAACATCAACATTTTGCAGGACATTGCGTTTCATAGTGCCAACAATGTATTCCTAGGAATGCTAAGGAAAATTAAAACACTTGGTCTGGACAATGCACAACACCACGAACCCATCTCACAGGCAGATCTTGCAAAAATTAGAAATTCTCTATCTGTCGACACACCACTTCAGTTACAAAGAAAGGTGTGGTTCGATTTAACTTTGGGCTTTGGTCGCAGGGGGAATGAGAATCAGCGTGATTTAACGATTCATTCATTTGCTGTAGAATCCGATGATGTAGGTATGGAGTATATACCTTGTTTTAGTCACGATATGGCTGAAATATTGCTGATGTGACTTAAAACCTTAACTCACTCACTCACTCACTCAGTTGTTGGCTTAATTACTGATTTAATTACTAGTTTTAAATTCATATGTGGTAATCTAGTTATGTTACTGTCCTTCGTTGACAGGTTTTAATAATTTACCATAAATAACAATTAATTGTTCTCGTCACGATATGGCTGAAATATTGCCGATGTGACGATAAATTGTAACTCACTCACTCACTCATACCGTTTCGGGCGATACCACTTGACGTATTGACACGTAACCAAAGAAAGAGTTCCAACTGAAATTGTTCATACAGTTTTCATGGTAGAATGTAAATAACCCTACAGTGTTTTGAAATTAGAGGTAGTATAAAGGAATTATAAATTAAATTTAAAATTATTATAATGCAGTTATTTTACCTTATATTTCAAAACACAGATGGTTTATCTCCTGAATAAATACTGATTGAAAGTTGTACTGTACGGGCACGTGTTTTCACAAACTAAGTGTATATTGTAGCGTCCATGTAGCGTCAATCTAGATTCACTCACTCACTGTAAATATTGCATACACAATTGTAACTAAGTTCATTTGTCAGTTGATTGTTGTTGATTAATAGTATTATATTCAAGTTATTTGCCTAGACGACTGTACGTGTTACCTCATCAACTGCATTGCACCTCTCTGTCATAATATGTATAGCTTGTGTAATAATATGCAGACGTGTGTGTATATATAGTTACCATCTGGGTTACAATATCCACTCTTAATTAGGTCGGACGTCGGACACGTATACATGCACAACAGATATACATGTGAGTAAATATGTCTTCTTTTAACCATATTATTGTCAACTGAGAAAATAACGTTTTTGGAAATTGGTTATCATTCCTCTATGTCTAAGACAAAAATTTATTTGACAATGTCTACTGGGGAAAATTTTATCCCTCCATCATGATGTTGCAGAAATATACCCTGACCACATTATGCACGATTTCGTGTATATCAAGAATACCCAAACTCTAAACTTCTAATAGGTGTCGCCCACACATCTGCCAGACTGATGCAATATATAGGTGACATGAAGAGGTTAAAGTTGCAGATGACAGGAATATACGTGCAAAGGTAGTTGTCCAATGTTGTATTCCGTTCGAAAAACCGCATCGAGCTTGCTTAAATTGTCCAGAAGTATGTGGTTGTCTCAGAAACGGTACTGGAATCTTCATAATCCGCGACACAAATCACTTTACCATGTGCTCAAAAAAGAATTGCTAAAAGATTATCAAGTCGTCCTTTAGATTTTTTAAAATCTGAACAAACACACAGTTGCCCCCATATGTACATAATGTCTTCATCATCTGTCCTGCGGTACGTGTCAATGTTGTAGTAAATGTCTAAAAGCACCTTCCGTTAATAAGGAAACCCCACTCCCGGATAACATTATCCATTTCGAACTCAAACACTGAGGTCATGTAAGAGTTTAACAGTTAACTGGCAGATATATATTGTTCTATAGCTAGCAAAAACCTGCCACTGAATACCTTAGTACTGATATAACAACAAATATGCATGATACATTATCACATGACATTGTTTTTTTTATAGAAATCAATGTTTTTGAGCATCATATCATTATGTCGGATGGGACAAGTCTGGCAGCGACAAGAGCTACCGAAGTCACATAACCGTTCTCCTGGTCGGAGAAGTTAACCTGGACCTGGATAGAAGTAGAGTTCAACAAGGTGGGAGGGACCTCAAATTCCCAAACATCCATGTTGGTATACATGTCACTGTTGTGTCTGTCTGAGTCATACAGCTTGAAGAAGGAGTCAAGAGTTTGGTTGTCGAGGGTTACAGATTTCACATCGTTGGTTTCAGTAGTGAGCCAACTGGTTGAAACTCGCAGATTTGCGCTTTGGATTTCGCCAACCGGAAGTGATATGGTTGTTACAGCGATGCTGTCCTTGATAGGTATAATAACATCTGTTCCGTAATATGTCGTTTCATTGAGAGTAACTTTAGGTTGTTGGTCTGATGGGATCTTGAATGTAAAGCGACATGTTGCTTCAGGAGGAAGTTCAACCATTCCTTGAGTTTTCCCGATGTCAAAGGGTTCGTTGAAGGTCATGACCGGGTACCAGTTGTCCTTGATGGTGATACAAGTAGCTTCGCCCATGGTCGGTGTGATCCAGTCGTCTTGGAAAATTAGCTTAACGGTTTGTGACTGTTGTGAATAGCTGTGAAGGAGAATGACGGTTTCATTCTTCAAAGGACTGGCCATTGCTAGCGGTGACACAGTTCGTTCCTGTCTGTCCGATTGGCTGGAAGTTCTGATGAAAGAGTACTCTGACGTGAAATTGTTCCAAAACTTGAAAACGTCGACCAAACGTGTGGCGTTCTTGCTGAGTGAAAAGTGACCAGTTGAGACTGTCATGTCCTGGAAGTTGCTCGTTGGCTAACAAAAACACCACTGTTCTATCAATGTATTCTCTGAGATCAAGTTGGGTGAATCGGTGGCCATTGATGCAATATATTGTTGAAAAATCGACTATACCCGATGGAGCATCTTTGCTAATACCTTTTACTCCCCCCGCGACCATATTCACTGATAATGATGGGAATAGATTTTCCCTTCTTTCGATGGACATAGCTTTCAAGGAGGTCGACAAATGCTACCAAACGGGCTTCATTATTTCCAGTGAATTTGTGAGTTTTCCCCGAAACCACTACCGAGTTGTATGAATGAAAGGAAAATACGTCTAACTGATCTAATGCGATGTCCAGAAACTGTACCAGTTTTGGCCAGAAGGAGAAGTTATTTCTGTCTACGTCTGTATTATATCCTGTCATTGTTGGACCCGCCACTTTGATGTTAAATCTGGAATGGAGTTTCTCAGCAACTGCTTTATGGTAGATGCCGACAGTGGTGCTGAAATTCAAAACCTGATTCTCAGCCTCTGGTTCATTGATGACCTCAAAGTAGGGCGGTATCTGACCTTGTGTGTAGTCATAAACTCCTTGCACCATTAACATAATGAACTCTGCAGCAGCATCGACGTTGTTTGGGAAAAGACCTTGATGTTCTGACTGATTTATCCAGTTTGGCCAGCTACGAGCTGGAAGATATGAATGAACAACACATGAATGCATACTGTTGCAGTGATGTTCTCCTTTTCATAGAAATATGCCAATCCATTTAAATTAGATCGTTTTATTTCAAGACACTTGTCTCTTTTGTTGAATGTAAGAATTTAGACAAATGTTCACTAGAACCATTCTCAAACTTGTTTACAGAATTCTGTGAAGCTAAACTTACTTTACAGTCGCAATAAATGCACCATAGATATTAACATACATAAATTTTACATTTGATTGTGAAATAACATCGAGTTCGAAATGTTGTTTCCATGTACATCTTTGAATGGAAGCATATTGTAATTGCATAACTTTAACAGAAAGAGAAAACCCCGGCGTCTAAGTTTCTAGAATTTGTATTGCAGAAATGCGTTGCTCAGGGTTATGTGGGTCTAATTCCCACATTCGCTCGTAGAATGTTCTTTCTTTTGTCAGTTCAATACACATATTCGTATTTGTAAACACCAAGCATCAGTCAATAGGCTACGCCATATATATTACATATAAGTTCTGCTAATGACTTGTTTTCAGGGTGCACTTACATTTTGTCTCCATGATCATTTCGTTCTTGTAACCACTTTTAATGTTTGCAACATACGAGGAGAATAGTTCCTGCTGCCTGGTGACATTCTTCAGCTAGTTCGGGTCTGGGTAGCCACTACGGTTAGGGTCCTGTGGCCACTACAACATAAACAATTTCCAGTTAGTGTTTATATAGATGATTACGTGTCACTAACAATTAGGTAAAATTTTATTATTGGTAATACTAGTATAAATAATAAATTAACCGTTTTTAAACAAAATTGTCTGAATGACAAAAGATTCTCATTATGTTACTTATTCACAAACAATCTAGTTTAATTCAAACAACACTACACTACCTAATAACCAGCCCTGATATGATCAGTGACTATCCCACAGTTGATGACTATTCAAGTAACAAAGAAACGATGCATTTCATTGCCAATATCTAGATCTAAACGGGCAATGGTCATGTTTTGTTCTGGTTAGATACAGCAAATCTGATTCAACATCTCGTTCTGCGAATGTTGCATACACGCATACATAGGAACAAAAGTCTCACATCTTGAAAGAGATTATCATTTAAATCTCTGTTCAACCAGCGTCCGCTGTCAGTCCGAATACTACGACAACTTGGTATCAGGGATTCATGTTCCAGACCATTGTGCTTGCTCCATCTGTCAGGTTCATAGCGAAGATTACCTCCCTTTGCCAGCCACTGAGGATAGATTGTCACAGTCGTGTTACTGTATACATTGATGATTGAAAGGCTCAAAATGAAAACAACTGGCGTCCATTCCATTTTGCCTGATTTGTAGCATTTCCCAACAAAGGTCATAACTCGTTCAGTTGGAAGAGGCTGTGTCTTATAGCTCAGACGTTTGCCGCTGATAAGGTATCGTTGACCTTAATACAGCTACACCACACTGTTGGAACGTGATCAGTTTGTTATTTCTCCTTTGACATATAGAGATAGATTGAAAGATATATAGATAACAATATACATGTAGTTCAACAAGAGAACGTGAACAAACATTATCTCAATGCCTCAACGCGTGAATAGTATTGTCAAAAATCAAAACTAATTTTGAAACGTGAAACGATTAAAAACTGCAGTATCCCAGCTATATGGTTGGGTCTGATGTGAATACAGTGATTGAGGTCATGAGTTTGAAGATCAGGGTGTTACGGCGGTAAACCACTTCGCCTTCTTTTTCGAATGATTGGTGGCCGGTGCTGAAGTGGACCTTTGTGATTGAATTGGGCTGAATTTCATCTAAGAACCAGACGTAGATTCAGTGACTGGGCCAATAGTTTTAAGGGCGGAAGCTAAAGAAATAGTTTTTTTGTGACTTGATCCTAATGACTTCAGTCTGACATGCAGAAGTGACACTGCTACAGAGTGGAATATGTGATAGACTGATTGAAGTTGAAGACTGATTTGTCACTCACATTTGGGATCAAGGTGTAAAATCAGGATCTGGATGAAG